ATATAAAATAAATTCTCAGAAATGTTCCTCACAACTTGCAGAATCAGAAAAACGTGTATATGAACAAAAAGGCGAACTTAAACACAAATATGTCAAATGCATTAGTTAGGCATAAAAATAAATTCAACCCCAATTTTGATATAAATAACTCCCAATGTCTATGAATGCTTTATTATACAGTTCATCATCGTAAGAAACTGGAATATCTGGTAATTTCACTTATACTTGGTGTTTGTAATTATTAATTGGGGAAGTAACTCGAAAGGAAAATTCTTGACAGTGCCGCTATCGAATCTTATAAAAATATAAATGTGCGCTCCAGATTTTTCCGACATCTTCATTCCCGAAAGAATGACTACTTTCTCAAGCCAAGATATGAATACAAAAATGTTAAAAAATAAAAGAAAGCGGTTGAATCCTTAATCGCATGTATTTATGAATATATAACACGCAAATTAATTCCAAACTAAAATAATTTAGATACTAATTTGCATAAAAAGTGAAAAAATCTGTTACACACTTTCATTTATTAGACACTGAATTGTATCACATCGTGTCCTCCATAGCTTGACTAACTTTTCAGCCAACCTTATTGATATTTATGAGCGTTCGTAAACTAAAAAAAATTTGAAAACCCAATATCATCTTTGCTCTTATATATAAATGCATATTGCAAAAACCTTGCATTTGCCTTGATAAAGTCGCTCAGTTTTTTTGTCTTTATTCATATATATATATATATATATATATATATATATATATATATATGTGTGTGTGTGTGTGTCCGCGTGTGTGTGTCCGCGTGTGTGTGTCCGCGCGCGTGTGTGAACTGCCCATCCTACACAATGTTTAATATCTAAAAAACATTAAACTAATTGAGTTTCTTTTTCCAGCTTTTCAGATGATACCTTTAGCCATCTAGTCACCATTTGTCGTAAGAACCATTGAAACCATTTGAGTTATTCAACTAGAAAAAGAACAGCTTAAAATCGTTCCATATAAGCCTCACTCTCCACCCAAAATAGCAATGCTGAGAGAAAAATACCATTCAGGCCTTCAGTAATGGTACCAACTTTCATATTCTGGCTTCCATCTTTAAAGAACGGTGTATGTTTTAAAAAGAGGAACAGTAGAGAAGAAAACAGGACCAGGAGGTCACAACAGGAAGAGGGATTGCCATTTCAACTTTGAGCTAAATAGATTAATTAGAAAAGATCCAATACAATACATACGACGTTTGGCACATGAGAGCGGAATTACAGCTATCACAGTCTAAAGTGCAGTGAAAAAGGCTTGAAAATGAAATCGTACAGGAAATCTGTGAGGCAGCTTGTTACCCCAGGACAGAAATATAAAAGATTAGAGAGGGAGAAGATCATCTTGAATAAGTTTGAAAATGATCCTTGAATAATATATTTATATTTGAACTTTTTTTTCAATCCTTCATGAGCTATGTTTAAATAGTCATGAACATGTCACTTTCGTTTTTTGGTTTTACACGATTTGGACATTTTTCCTGTAACACCCGTTATATATATATATATATATATATATATATATATGTGTGTGTGTGTGTGTGTGTGTGTGTGTGTGTGTGTGTGTGTGTGTGTGTCAGAAAAATATGGTTTTAAGGTATGCTATACATATCAGAGATAGAGCCTATATACATATAAAAGTCTAAACTTAGGTCTAAACAGAGCGAAAGCAATCAGTTTGTCGCCGCTCCGTGCTGACTTCACAGTTCACTTAGAGAGTTAATTTAATTGGAAGTTTATATGGATAAGAGAGAAAGATGAAGGTTAAATCTACACTTGAACAGGTTAAGATTGAAGCGATCGGCGAAATATCCTCTGTTTCACCTATGGAATACGGATAGAATGAGAATGGTTTGCTACAATATGTTTAGTATGGCGTGTACTTACTGGAGCGGGTATCTACCAGGGTTATATATCAAGCGATCATTTTCATCAAAGAAAATGTGGAAAGTAAAATTTTAAGTTTATTCAATAAAATCGCCATTGACTTCAACCACAGCCTCCAGACGACTTCGGAATCTCCTGCAACTCTTCTGGACATTCTCCTTGCTTAAGTTGGTGAATGCTGCCATAATCCTTGCCTTTAGTTTATCTTTGTTCTTTGATTTTTGTTGGTTTCTCGCCCCACACATAATAATCAAGGGGGTGGAGTCTGGGGAGTTAGGTGTTCAGATGAAAGGGGTGATGTGGTAGCAAAGATTGCCTGACAACCATGATTAGGTTCTCCTGCTTGCGAGGGATGTTGCAGAGTCCAGTTGCCAGAAATAGTGTCTTCCAGCAGCCACCCACTTGACCCAGGGCAGTACTACCTCCTTAACGCACTTGATGTAGGCGTCCGTGTTGAGTCTAAGGCCCTGTGGGAAGATGAATGGTGGCATAACGTCATCATTAGACTCATCCAACTCTTTCCGAAACGCTTGCACTGCCAGTCACTCAAAACAATGCACTGACACTCAAACGCTCTGAAATGTTTGTATTGGAGCACTTCCGAATGCCATGAATTACATGCCGTTTTCAAATTACCCAAATTACCGGTGAAGTGAATTGCGTCATGCTGCTATTTCTCTCACAGAGGGTGCCCAACTGACCTAAATATACAGCACAGTCAACAAAATCAAAAACAAACAACGCCTCCTTTATGTGTGTACGAGGGATTAGTAAATATTCTTATATTTTGTTTCGTTTTCCCTCATTCCGGTAGAAAGTCTCTGTATTTATTCACACGCTGATGCTTAGTCTTATATGCTTCAATGTTGTAAGCAAAATTCAAAGTAAGCTGGCATTTTGACAGATACCCGCTCTTTTTTGTTTAATTACAGTCGTTTGAGATGTGACAGGATGATAATGTCAGACAATTAACTTCCTGTTGGTCGTTATATATTGCTGATGCTTCTGTGATAAATAAGCATTCCTACAAATTATATAAATATTTAACTGATTAGTGCAGCAACGCACCAAGATCAAGGCATTCTAAAAGAAATAGTGGTAAACTGTTAAGCGTTCACACCATTCATCAATGCCCTGGTGACCCTATATAAACATGGACTGTTGGTTATCTTTGACTTGTAAAACGCACACACACACACACACACACACACACACACACACACACACACACACACACACACACACATGCAGACAGGCACACACACGCATACACACGTGGCTCCACCTGATATCCTCTAACATGTTAATAAGATCAGGAAAATTGAGTACTATTGCTACATCTGGGCAGGTACTGCCCAGTCTTTACGTCCCAGTTTCGAGAGTGTCCGAAAGCGTCCTTGTGGGTGATGAATTATTTTCCACCCTACAAGCCCATTCCCACATACGTCGTTCCATTGTTATTTCTATGGAAAGTATCCAGACAAACTACATTCCTTAGTTCCACCAGTTAACCAGTTATAACCCTCACGGCTAAAACCCACCATGCCACGCCCATTGCAGACAACCACCCTAATTCGCATTCGTGAAGCTTATTACCACGAACCTCTGATTTGTGGAACCGATGCCAAGAGTTATATATATATATAATACGAATGCATTTTTACTTACCGTTAGCCTAATTCTGCATTTCATGTACATTGCGTTTTATTGTATTTTATTAACCCCTTGTAACTAAATGGACTGCTCCAATATAATTACATTAATGTAAAAATATCAATATTTAAATTATGCAACGGTCAGTTTTAAATCAGCACCTGATGATTGCAGCGTGCATGAAACTTAAATTTTTGATATGGGTGAAGAACAAAAAGTATATTTGTTATTAATATAAAAAAGTATAAATCTGTTATTATACATCGAGCACTATTTATTAGTACCAGAACTCAATGTACGATATTATATATATATATATATATATATATATATATATATATGTGTGTGTGTGTGTGTGTGTGTGTGTGTGTGTGTGTGTGTGATGAGAACCAAACAATTTACCTCATACAGATGATCATTTCGTCCATGGGGAAAGTAGTTTTTCCCTAGATTATCAATGCAAATATATTTACTAAAATGAATAAAAACTAACGTTTCTTCATAGGAAATTTGAAAGGCAAAGGAAGGTAAGAAGAAAAAAAGAAAAAAGAAAGAATAAAAGGAGAAAGAGTAAGAATTGACCTATAATAGAAGTGGATGTTATATAGATATAGAGAGGTTAGGGACCTAATGGGGTTGTGGTGGAATCGGGTACAGATAAATTGACACTGACATAAATGTAACATATCAACACCTGTGCAAAGAAGAAGAAAGAACATCATAAAACATTTTATAGAGGAGCTTAGAATTATTATAGAATGGGGTTAAGAACTTAAAATCACTGCTTTTATAAAAAAAAAAAAGATGTTAATATTAAACAATTCAATACTACATCTTTAACTATACAGTAAACGTTAGAGTAAATAAATTTAAGTAAATTATTAATTTCATTTAAATATAATGAATCTCATCAATATAATACTAATAAATTTTCAAATACTAAGTTTATAATTTAAATTATATCATACTGATACTGATTATTTAAAAATTCTGTAAAGGATTAGATTTAAATTCGAGATATAAAAATATTTAGTATTATAAAAACAATTAAATATTGAAGGAGGTGGGTGAAGCAAAAATATTTCTTTTTCTATTTTTCTGTCGATTACTACCCTTAACTTCACTATGTTTATTTGTGGGGTTTAAGTAAGATTAAGTGTATGTGCAAAACCACTTTTCTGGGGGGCATTTTCGTAGGAAGGCGCCGTAGTTTGTTTTTTTAACCAAAGTACTTTCGATCTTTTCCAAGATCAGCTTCAGGGTTAAATTACAAAAACAAACTTATTGTAAC